AGCAGTAACCCTAGTCTTCCAGGTTATATGCAAATGTTAAAAGAAAATAAATCTTAAATCAAAATTAGAAGTTTAATACTGGTGCATAGAGCATTTTGCATGTTTTTATATAGATCTGGCTTATTCTCAAAAATGAGTGGGGCCTCCTAAGTGTGCTGTACACATTCCCAGTATTTTAATGGCTTTTGATACAAACGGGCTATCTTTGGGATGGGGAAAGCTTATACAGCCCTCAAATGAGTGGTGGCTGTGAAAAGATTGGAATATGAAGTGTAATGCAGCATAAATACTTACATTGCAAGAGTAATTGGTGAACTTTGCCAAGCAGTAAAGAATAACATATTTTAATGGGAATAATTAAATTGAAAGTCATCAAATAGACAATGTAAAAGCTTTGATTAGAATGTAATTAGAATTATAAAAGACTTAATGAAATGAAACTTGTGGAGGGATCTGTGGGCGCTGTAATTACCAGTGCGGAGTCAGCGTAAGGAAGGCATTTTTGTGGATCAGTGTATTTTAATCTCATGCTTTCTCAGTGTGAAGGAAATGTAACGTTGTAACACACCAATAAAACAACACATGAATGTGGGTTTATACATCTGTGTGTTATCAGTTTATTGAGAAGAATAGAAGTTACCAAGTTAAGGTTCATTAATAAATCACGTGAAGCATTACAACAAAACAAGCCCTAATGTGACTGCATCATTGGTAAGCAACAGCAGTTCCAAAAGCCATTACTGCTACCACTAAACTGGAGCAGCCTTCCTCCTGCTATCCAACTTACATCCAGGAAAATGTACCGTGTAAGTCTGCAAGGTTGCAATCTTTAAATATTTAACCAGCTAAACTGCAACAGGTCCCTTTCATCTGTCAAGTTCTATATTTCAAATAGTACTAGGAGTGCCATATTTAATAACAAATGTGGTTGGACTAGAAAAGGAGGACAGAATCTGATTGAACACAGCAAAAATACCCTGAATCCAGGAGAGGCATGAGATTGTGAACCACTCAGCAAAATGTCCCACAGAAAATGCATATCTCAGGCAATGTGTTAGAATACAGCTGGAGCATACATACCGATTCATTCTCACATTTTCGTGTGGGCAGTTTAGTCTGATTTGTCCCTCTGTTCTTTTCCCTATGGATCCATCAAGTTCTTTCTATTTAATATGAAAAGAGAACCTCATTTTCATTCTTTCTTTCCGTGGCAAAATTTGTGCTATGGATTGGGGAAAAAAAAGAAAAATCCTTCCTCCTGTTTTATGGTACTAAAATTCCATTGACTTCAGTGGAACTGCTCTGGATCACTAAGCACATCACATCCAGTAAGTAGAATAAAGCCTTCACACAGTTATTGCTTGTACTCTTACATTTTTAGGAATATAATTAGCAAAATATTTGTCTTCAATTTTGTTTCCTTGAGATAACATATATCTCCCCTGAGTTGGAAAACTGTTGTCTTGCTCTGACCTAACAGAAGGGGAAAAGTCTTGAACACAGCAGCATTAGCATGATGGGAATGGGAAGGTCAGACACACATTTCTGTTGCTTTTGAGGTTCAGAACGTGTTCATGGTTGCTACAAGCAACATGTAACAAGGATTATAAAATTAATGTATTACCTACTGACCAGTGTTGCTGCTTACAACAGTGCTGTGCCAGCTGGGACAAACACAGCCCGGGTCCTGTATGGAAGAGATACACTATGTTTCTATTAACTCATGGAAAGAAAACAGGAATTCTGCTTTTCATTACAGCGGTGTAACCACTGCTGGATTGCTTGGAGTTACTCCACAATAATACTCTTCTTACCAAAGCAAATTTTGAGGTTTTGGTGTTCCATCACTGCAGGCTGGATCTTGCTTCCAGTAAACTCTCATCAACTTAAATGTGAAAAGGAGAGTCTATAGTTCCTTTCCAAACATGTTATATTGCAGGAGTCATCCTGTTGTGGGTGTGCATTAAACAACTAATAGTTTCAGGGTTTGTGTGCCTACACATGTGTCTTGGGAAGGACAGTCTAGGGATTTACTGCTACCATATCAACAGGGCAGGAAAACCGTCCACGTCAATCTGTAATGGAGAGATTTAAAGCTGCATGAACATCTGTCTAATGGAGAATTTCTTTCTTGCAAGAGAAAATGCTGAACACTTATTATTTTTCTCCAGAATCCTCATGATCAAAGAGTTTAAACATCCTCTCCAGATGTTCTAGCATTTTTCTCTATTTTTTCTCTATTGTTTTAGAAAGAAAATCATATAAATAGGCAGCTTGCTTGTCCTGGGTTCAGCTACAGCAGTCATGTTTTCTCCTTCTTAGTAGCTGGTGCAGTGCTATGTTTTTGACTTTCAGTCTGGGAACAATGCTGATAACACCGATGTTTTTAGTTGTTGCTCAGTAATGTTTACTCTGACCAAGGACTTTCTCAGTCTCATGCTCTGCCAGGGAGGAGGGGAAGCCAGGAGGAAGCAGAGGCAGGACACCTGACCCAAACTGGCCAAAGGGCTATTCCACACCACAGCACGTCATGTCCAGTATAGAAACTGGGGGGAGTTACCCGGAAGGCCCAGATCGCTGCTCGGGTCGGGCTGGGTATCGGTCGGCGGGTGGTGAGCGGTTGTGTCCTTTTCCCTTGTTATTCCTCTTATCATTATTATTGGTAGCAGTAGTGGTTTGTATTATACCTTAGTTACTGGAGAGCTGTTATCTCAACCCGTGGGAGTTACATT